CAAGATCCCCAAAGGAGACCATTGTGTACACTAAGAAGTGTCGCGTGTAACTTTCACAGAGGTCAGTGGTTACTGCACCACTTGGAACGACTTGGATTGTTGACTTTTCATGAAATTGCTCCAATGGTTGTTATCGTGGAACCAGCTTTACATGGGCTTGGTCGCTACTTCCAACAGATGGAGCAAGGACAACAGATCACTGTACTGGAGAGCATGCAGTATGAATGGATGCGTGTAAGGAGCTTCTGGTCCTTTCCCAGAAATGCTGGAGTGTCCTACCTATATTTGGCAAGGATAGGGTTTTTCTACACGGGTAGAGTGTCGGAGACCTGCTGCTATAGCTGTGGACAGATCTACAGAGAATGGAGGGAGGGAGATAACCCACTAGAAATTCACCGACGGATATCTCCACATTGTCTGCACCTCAATGACGGTGATGCTCGAAATATGCCCATCTATGCAGATGTCATTAACCAGTGGCCTGCCATACCATGGGAACCGCTTTTGGAGGAGGCAGCAAGACCACCAGTTGATGAGGAGCCTGCTGACCTACCCGAAGCAGGTATGTAATGTACTAAAACTGCAGAAAATACTGGAACAGTTAGGAATATCCATAGATAAGTGAGTTTGGATTAGGAGATTTCCTAGTAAATGACCACGAGGAATTATTCAACAGCAGAACTTCATTATAACAGACACTTTAGTTCCAAGGAAAAGAGTTTAGAAACAGAATTTATCATTTCAATTTATCCCTCATAACCTGACCAAAATAGAAAATATTCCCTAAATATTTATCCTTTATACCAGGAAATATTTGCTGCTGTTAAATTTTTTTAGCCGTTTGGAGTGAGGACAAATTTATCATTACAGCAAACATTAATTAACAACATAATTAACATAGTGATTAAATGTGAAGGGGAAATCAACACTGGGTGAATATGGATTTCACAGGTAAAGGGTGAAAGTTTGACTTGGCAAACATTTGGTAGTATATAATATTCAATAACAAAGCAAGGAGCATTTAATATTTTGCTGAGTATAGGTACATGAAAAGATAAATTATATTGAATTGTGAGGAGTGAATTCAATTTAAATTAAAACATAAAATATATATTACATTGTTATATTTATACAGAAGCTTTGGACAGGGACACTGCAACTGTAGATACCAGAAGCCAGCATC